ATCAAGATCTTCTTACGATTAGTGGTATTCGGTACATGTTACCAATCGGATTTTCTTTAACTGCTATCACCTGATCTGAACCATAACAAGGCTAAAAATAATTTTCATCAGTTCAAATACAATGATTCTTCTATTTCAAATTAACCTTAACTATACCAGGTCAAATCTTTGCAAGGTAATTATTGAAAACGTTTACCTATACTTGAATATCTAATGGGTCCCGACTGTTAAAGTAGCTTTGTTCCTTACTTAACAGAATTATAGACTACCTATTGGACTTGTTTTTTTATTTTCAGTTTTTATTTCAAGTAATGTTTTAGCAGTCGGGTTTTTTGATTTTTTTAATTTATCTTTTTTTTCTATTAAAATGTAAGTTTAGCACGTCTTTCATAACTATACTACAGTAGAACCGAAAGGTTCGGTTTAACACCGTGAGGTATTAGAGTCAACACTCCCACCAATTGGCCTAGCCTCAAAATAAGATTGTGTTCTAAACTATTGGATAGAAATACATAAAAGTGCATACATTTGTATAATTTTGTAGAAATGTGTATTCACTGCCATGACTTAGGCACAGATTCGATTTATCATGCAGTAATTTGCCCCACCGAGAATTGAACCCAAGACTTTGAAAAAAAAAATCTTTCTCGTCGGTCAAAACAGTCCGAGCAAACAGATTTAATAACGGAATAACGCAACGCTTCAAATTTAGTCTAGGTCAGTCTCAAGGAACTTATATACTAACTGGAATGCTTAGGCCACCCTCAAAATCGTTCCGAAGAGCAAAGCTGAATTGGTGGAGTGTGTCTCGTTCTAGTAGTGTGCCCAAACAGTTACTTCATTGATGAGACAATTCATTTTCTCCGAGTGAAGGAATCTTCTAATTTTCAATTCTATATCATTACCTTGAAAGTCCAAAACAATATTAAAATCTTTAAAAGACCTTCCGAGCTTATTAAATATGTCGCTATATGTATTGCATCTGTTTTTTATCCAACATTGAACACGATTAACGGTTCTCTAATTTTAATTTGTCAAACGATACGTTTTTAGTATTTATTATGTATACTTTAGATGCCTACCTAGGGGAAAAAATAAAGTATAACCACTGAATTATTTATTATTTAAATTACAGATTATTACTTTAAAAGCTTCAAAAAACACGATGCATCGTTTTATCAATTGATGTTTACTTTTTAACTTAACGAATTAGGTAGATTTGTCTTCATTTTTTGTCCTCGAAAATAGTAATATAATATATTTTCCATAGTGCTTATAGTAGTATAGTGTAAATAAATTGCAATAGTAAAATCCGTTCAAAAGTTCATTTATTACCGTATTAGCGGCCGCCTGCGACTTCGTTCGCGTGGAGTTAGGATTATTAAAATATTTAATAATCCTAAAGTTAGGATTATTAAACATTATTAAATTATTTATTATTTGCACATACTTTATCACCCCAAAAGGGGGTTTATTTCTAAAGATACATTATTAGTACATCTATGACTTTTAAAAACAACTATTGACCTCGCCCACATAATCAAATTTAAATTATTTATATCCAAAAAGTGCTTACACATGTGATTCGACTTGATGTTTTTGAAATCTCATAGATGGCGCTGCTTTAAAATTGTCTATTATGTTTATCGGTCTAAGTTACTTATAGTGTGAAGCTAGCTTATAGCATGGATCGTGGAAATTAAGCAACTTTCGCAGTGGTCGGTTATTAAATGGGTCACCAAAATTATTTATACTTACTCGAGTTCCTTCGTGCTTTTCCGGGACCAACGCTAGGCCGTTGGTCCCGGCTGCAACTGCAGTCGTTAGCACCCACCAATCCGCACTGGGCCCGCTTGGTGGATATTATCCATAGGGAAGAACTGTGCCCCACGAGTGGACATTAATACGCTGATGATGACTATGACATATACTTTCCGTAAGAATATCGAAAATGTTTTGTCACCCTACACATGTTATTTGTAAACAGAAGTCAAAAACGTACCTATTATTGAAATTCCACACCCAGCATAGGCCTCACTGTTACACCATTGTGCTTAAAAAAAAATATCATTTTGCAGCAGCAAATCACAAGAATTTAATAAAAATAATTTGTAGTTAGCATTAATAGGACTTCAATCCGGAAGAATATGAGCCATATTGTTTATTGGAAGCATAGCAAGTGTTCTCATGCATAAATCCTTCAACTGCGGGAAAGCCTCCGCCTAAAACACCCCCCCCCCCCCCCTTGCGGAACGATTGCGCGGCCGCAGCGCGCGCTCGACGCGGTTTAAAATTTATTCAATAACTTTAATAAATTGTTCGGTCGACATGCAGCTAAATATTTTATTTCAATTATAGATAGTCAATGTACCTTCTTTTTTAGTAATTTCCTATATAAATTGTTTCAACCTTTTTATTTTTAACAGGAAACATAGACAAAATCAATTTCGCACCTAAGGTGGCATAAACGCGATTTGAATAAATTATACGAATACTTGTGCTTTTCATTGATAACCTTTTCAAAGTTGAATAACTAAACAATAGATTTTTGCAAAAAAATAATATACTGTTGTAATATAATGTTGTTAATAAACTGTTTTAAAAATTACTTTTTAGTTGCGAGCTCCCCGATGCTCAATTTTAAAATCGTCGTACTAACGGTTGTTTGGTCATAAGAACGACTTCACCACAATGAGTGAATGGTTTATTCATCTGGGTATAAAATTCAAAAGACTTTGAACTGTATTGCATAGTATTTATTCAAAAAATTGCAAAAAATTTAATGCGGGTGACGAGCGAGCAGTTCTGCACTTACCCAAACGGGCTTTACTCACGAAGGCGTGCAATACCGCACTACAGCGGTTGAAGCACAGACTAGTTAGAGATACTACGTATGGTTGAGGGGTAAATGCAAGTTACTACTAATGACTACCATTTAAAAAAAAAATTAGATAATGTTATTCGTTTAAAGAAAAATAAACTCATTTTTGGTTGCATTGATATCAATAAATTAAGTGCAATCAAACATAATTTTTAATTTAACTTTCACACTGTATGTTCTAGTTCTTATTAATGGTGATCGGGATAATGGTGTCGATTCTGGCGTGATTCTCTAAACTTAAAACTAAATTTGACATCAGTCTCTCCTTTTTATTCTGTAAAGAGAACGAAAAGGATGCACTGTTGTCAAATTTAAGTTTAGCTTTAGAGAATCATGCCAGAATCGACATCAATGTGAAACCTACCATTTGATTATTTTTATTAACACTGACAATTGAAGAAAAGAAAGAGACAGACTCCACTTTCATCGTTGCCCTGCTCGGAACATTTTTCCCTCTTATGAACTTAGAAACAAAAATGTACTTTATGTAACACTGGTTAGACTACATTTTTTTAAATCTAATATTATTGTTTCGTAAGCATTCCAGATAGATATAAGTTCCTTGGTCAGTCTATAATGTAATAAAATTTATGTAGTTTTCTTTTGTCGAAAATAAACTCTATTCCTCTGTAATAACGCCGAAATTGCCGTAGATACATAAAGTATAAATGCATCACTTTTTTCTTTTTTTTCCAACTATTGCCAGCCCGAAAAAGAAATAATGAGCAGAAATAATATTTTGTAAAAGATCCCATGGACGTAATTTTTAAACAGGACTCCATAATGCTTAGTGCCTATCAGTGTTGCCAACTCGGATTTTGAAAAAGGCGTAGGCCCGATGACAAAATTACGTAGAATTAGTAAAAATTGCATATGAATAGTTCTTAGATCTACGTATTTTTTTTTTGAAAGAAGTTAGTTCGTTAAAACGAGTATTTTGTTATACAATTTATTTAAAAAAAGGAGATAGAACATAGAATTCTTGGAGAAGACGCTACATTGGCAGCATTTACCATGCTGTGGTAGACATTTACCATCAGACACAGACGCTGCTAGGTGTCAATTTGGCATAATTCTCTAACCTTAGCACTAAATTTAACATCAGTCTTTCCTTTTCATTCTGTATAAAGAATGACAAGAATACACTGTTATCAAATAGGCTAGTTGACACTTTTTGAAAATATGTTTTAAATGGTTAATAATTGTTATATTAGACCGAAAAAAATGTATTGTAGTAATTATCATGATTGTATTATGCGAGAATGTAGAAACACAACGTTAAAGACTCCAGAAAAGTTGTGGTTTAAATTGCCCAAAGAAATAAACATATCTACACATGAACACATGTTTAAAACTTGCTAAATCCTGTAACTTTATCGACTGAAAGTCATTTCTTTTTGCATAGATCACTTCGGTGTAAGTACTGATTCAATAATATTTTAAGTTTAAAAATATATTTTTTAAGTTTATTAATGTACCTACTAAGTAAGAGAGCTTTGTCGTTTCTGCTTTTACAAATTCGGCGTCCGGCATTAATTTAGTCAACAAAACCAATAAACGGAAACTCTTCTACAAGATATAAGAGTCTTTAGATATATTTTAGTCCGACGAAAGAAACCATAGTAACACAACAATGACGTTTAGTTGTTTATAAATTTTGTGACGTCATTCTGAACTTATGAAGTGAAATCGATGTATTTCAGTTCCTCATACCAAAAACTATAAGAAATAAACATTTGTATAGTTAACGGAAAATATGCTTCCCTATTCTACTGAGTTATGTTATTTTGCAAATTTGTACAAATTAAAAGAAAAAACGTAGATTTTCGGACTGAAGTTAGTAGGTTAGCAGAAAAGGCCTAAAATACGTAGATCTACGTTAAAAGCCGTAGAGTTGGCAACACTGGTGCATATACCACTGGAGACGCCATAGCGTTCACTCGCCGAACAAAATTTTTCACCATTTTTGGTGCGGGACGAGGTACACACGTATATAGCACACTAATGAAAATATGCAATACTCCCACAAACACGAGCGTGTTGTTGCTACACACAATATATGGTCAAGTCATGGGTTAATAATTTCTTCCAAAAAGCCAATTTTTATGAGCTATCACTATAGGTAGATTTTTTGCAGATAAATTATGGTATACATAGAAGTTTACTTGATCACGGTCAGTGGCAACACTGACCCCAGCCGTGTAATATGGCCGCTACAGGTTAGTTCTCTTCATTTTGTCACGTGAAAAAATCTTAAAATTCTAGACTTCCAGTGATTTTATTTTCAATTTTATTTATTTATAACAATCTGTTTGTTGTCTAGTTATATTCTTAATACTATTTTCTCCCGTTAAGATGTTATCTAATAATGCTAACGTGTCATCGTTTCACCTCTGCGGACGTTTAGATTTACCGCGTGGCCACATTTCTCAACTTTTCAATCCAATTTTTTCAAAAGTGCGTTCAAAATTAACATCTTGGTCCGTTTTTGGATGATTATACTAAAAAAGAGTGATCAAAATTAACCAGATGTCTTAGCTACTAATTCCAAGGAAGCCACGAATAACCACTTTCCTAAATCGGAGTAGGTCGTTCACTTACAATGCGTCACCGCGTCATTATCCTGTACTGAAAGTGCTTACAAAATAATGTTTCTTTGTTGTACTATATCATTACTAATGATATTTTATAGGCAAAAAATCAAAGAAGTCGAAATGGATAAAGGCGAACATCACAGACATTATCGCGGAGCCGACTACAATCCCCGCGACAAACAGCTGGGCAGAGCCTGGAGATGATGGAGAACGTAAGTACACACCTACTATTTTTAATGTTTAATCACTTTAAAAAAAGTATAAGCTGACCCTATGATGACATAAGAGGGAAATGGCAGGTCAATTTTAATCTCGTACTTGGGGTGTACTAGCAGAGTGCTCGTCACTCCTTTCGCCCCGGGAAGGTCTGAGTAAAGGTCATGTGTGCTCTAACACATTCTAGCCGGGTGCTTCTCTAACAGGGAAGACAGGGGAACCAGAAATCACAGTACTGTGTCCAGCTTGTGATGACCGACTCAGTGGAGTTGGTAGGAGGTGCAGACACTGTCACTGTTGGAAACTCTTGTGACCAGCCTTTTTAGCACAATCTACGAGATGGCTTCGGTCATAACTCAATTCAGACTAGTCTTTGATTGATCTGCTCCTTATTTTTCTGAGGGTCATTGGTTTCATTCCTGTTTTTGCTTCTACGAAAACTTGAATGTTGTAAAAAAAAAATTCTTGAAATTAATAAACAAATCTTATTTTTTTATTTTATCTTTATTTGGGAAGCAAACAAACACATAAAACATATAACATTAACAAAAGAAACCCAAGCTATTGTCTCTTGACCAGAAAATATGTCAAATCTCTGATTCTTTATACTCGTTAATTAATATTAGAGTAATTAGATCTGGAATAACTTGTTAACGACATATTTAATTATTTAACCAATGAATATACTGCATTAACTACTTATTTAGCTCATTAATAAATGTTGAAACATTATTTTAACAGGAACTTTTACCATTTCAAAATCTTTTGTAACTATGAGATTTGTAGCATACCGTAATTAATATTCTTAAAGGAAAGCATATTTATGAAATGATAAACAACTACTTAAACATTGTTTATTTTATTTGATAACAACATATTACAGCTGATTATACTGGAATCATACAGTTGGATTTACATAGTTTTTGTTTAATCTGTTTGCATCTACAACATGTATTAATTTATACTATTAGTTTCTACAATTATTATTGTAAGTACATCTACCAGGTCTATTGTTTACAATGATGCATCTTATTGCATGTTCATTCAGAGGAGACTGGTGGCTACGGCTATGCTTCGAGGCAGCGGGCCCCGGTGGTACTGCCGTCGGCGTCGCGTGCCGCCCGGGGCGGGCTCGCGGTCGACGACGAATCCATACCCAAGAAGCCACCATACATTGCTCATATTTCCAACTTGCCTTATGATGTGGAGGAGAGCGCAATAGCAGAATTATTTGCCGGACTCAAGGTAGCTGCTGAGAAAATGTTTACAAACCTTTACCATAATTTTTTTATTTACTTTTTTAAATGATGATTATAATATATATTATTTACTTTCTCATCACAAGTCTGGGATTTTAAGTTTTATGGGTAAATAAATTACATTTCAATTCATAACAGCGGTAGCCTGGAGCCTAAACAGAGCTTTATTTCAGGACATCAGGATCTCACAACTTGATTACTTATTGCTGATTTAGTACTTGTGTAATCCAATTAAATCATTCCATCTTATCAAACTATAATATCTTAAATGAAATTCATGTTCCAACTATATCTTTTTCATGAAACAATGTTACTAATACATTGACCATTGTTATGTTTACTATTTATTTTATTTACATAAATCATTCATTGTTAATGTTTGCCAACAGATAATCAGCTTGAGACTGCCAAGGGAAAGTGATCGCCTGAAAGGCTATGGCTATGTGGACTTTGAAGATAGAGAGAGCCTTATAAATGCTATGAATATTCCAGATCTGGTGAGTGTATAAATACCATGATGTAATAAGATTTTTATATGTTCAGATTCTAAACAAATATAATGCCCCTGCAAATTTTTCAATAGAAATCCCCACAGTAAGAAGTTCTCATAAAAATAATAGTGTACATTCACGAAAAAAAAAAGGATTTGCAAAACATCCATGAACAATAATAAACTAAGACTCTATTGTTATTCAAATGTAACAATATGAGGGAACATCTTTTATAATACCTCATTGTCTGTTATTCCTGTTGCTTTGACTTATCTAGGGTTTCCTTTGTTCGTAGACAATAAGCGGGCGGCGCATAAGAATATGCGTATCGACACAAGAGACCGATCGCCGTATGGGACGCAGTGGTCGCTCTGACAGAGACAGGTAAAGAATTATTGTCAAACAATCTCCTTAACACATAATTATATAGGTACCCAACCTAATGACTTTTCTAGAACTGCAGAAACAATAAAGAATAAAAAAAACTGCAGAAATGGTAAAAGAAAGTTTAACAAAGAGTAATACACCATCTTTTTGTTTATGCTTTAAATCTAAAGCAATTTTTACTTTAAAGGTATTTGCTGCTGAGAAACTTACATTATATTTAATTTACTTTGATCAACACTTCTAATACAAACATCTTATGAAGTAAAAGACCAAAATAATCTTAGTAAGTTGACTAGGTACTTTTTTAATGTAAATTGACGAAAGTCAAACTCACTTATGATGACACATGCGAATTGATTGGTTTGAAGCCAATCAAGAAAGTCTGGAGCTACATGTTTAAAAATTAATCATCATCAATACATACAAATAAAACTTTACAATTAGGCATATAATATTCCATTATTACTTACATTTTAAAAAAAAAAGTCTTGTTTCATTAAAACATGAAGGTCATTTAACTCCTACTATTTGCACATTACTTCCTGTAGTAATGAAATGACTAAATATAATGTAAATTTTGTTTGTAATAGTGTTGATTCTGGCGTGATTCTCTAAACTTAAATCTAAATTTAAGATCAGCCTCTCCTTTTTATTCTGTATAGAGAATGACAAGGACACTTTGTTGTAAAGTTTAGGTTTAGAGTATCATGTCAGAATTGACACCAATTTGTATTTAAAATTTAGATATAAATACATTACTTTTAGACCTAAATTCTAGGAAGAATTTAGTTTGATTGCATTGGATCTATTTATGTACATTTTCTAAACCTGCTAGTCAGTTGACAAAACAACAAAATAGATGTGAATGTTGTAGAGTAGTTGTAGTCACTGAAGCTTGGTGACGCACATTTTGCACTTCTTTGGTCATAGTTTACGTAAATAAGAGTATCATGTTTGCCCAACAAGTTTCGAAAACTATTGCATTTGGGAGATTTACTATCTGCATGAGAAAACTAGCATCTCGTGCATTTTATGCTTTCTTTCACTCCCAATCTAGCATGGGAGCTATCGAGAATGGCGTTTCTAAGAAATGATTGTACAGGGAATATGATCCGGAGCGTACCATGGGAGACTGGAGATCCGGTCCAAGAGCACAGCCGGAGCCCACAAGCCGCCCGCGTCCAATGGAAAGGGAAAACATGCGGGAAAGAGAAAGAGAACGAGACTGTGAGTAACAAAACCTAAACTTTTCATTCATCATCATCATCAGCCTATTAATGTCCCCACTGCTGGGGCACAGTTCTTCCCTATGGATAATATCCACCACGCGGGGCCAGTGCGGATTGGCGGGGGCTATCGACTGCAGATGCAGCCGAGACCAACGGCTTAACGTCCTTTCCGAAGCACGAAGGAGCTCGAGATAGTAAATTTTTGGTCACCCATCCAATGCGAAAGTTGCTTAACTTCTTCAATCGCAGCCGAACGTGCTAACCACTTGTGCCATCGAGCTTCTCAAACTTTTCATTATCTACAGTAAATTTTATTGACACTTAAATAGGTATTAGATCAAGGCTACACATACAGAATCTGCCACACGAAATAACAGATGATGTAATAAATACCTAATGTTATCATCATAATATTGTTGAAATGACAATTTGCATGCTTATGATATGTAAATTGTAATAAATTTGAGAACAATGCATAGCTAAGAATCACTATGCAAAATTCACTAAATAGCAATTATATTATTTCTTTTATACTAACATAATTATAAAGTTTTTTAGGCATTATACATAGATTTTTGTTACAACATAAAATCAAATCACTTGCTTTAACAAACATGAGGCGCATAATATTATATAGGTACTTAATTATATAGGTAATGTAATATTCTTTGAACTGACTAATCATGTCATTATTGCTGTTTCACAATAGATAATATCAGATGTCTACAAGTCACAGTGATGATTGAATAGCTGCGAGGGCAAACTGTAATGTCACACTTGGGACATACTTACAGAGTGCAAAGATCACCAATTTTCTATGAAATTTTCGTATCAGCTAGTTAATGTACATTTTCCACCTTAAATAAGCTCTAACAAAAGAGAACGATTCTATTATTCTTGGGGATTTAAAACATTGTTTTGTAAATAAACATGTAATATCATTCAAATTAGATAGAAACTCATTGTTTTTATTATATTGCTTTGATATTCTTATGGAATAAATAGGATTTAGACCCAACACTACCATCCTGGTGCAATGATATCTTGCACTTACCATAGTGGGAGTGAATTTGTTAGCTAGAATCAATTGGTGATTTGAGTCACTCTCCATGTCTCGGGAAGGTCTGAGTAAAGGTCATTCGCGATTTGGTAGCGTTTACCACCGTCTAGACGGCGGCGTCGCTCACAGCGTCGGCAGGGGTATCAGAAACTCGGGCTGCATAGCTTTGTCGAGGACTCTATACATGGACGAGACTGCTATACATGCTCTTGGAAATCCCATGTGACCAGCGCTTTAAGTTCAATCTGTGACATGGCTACAGCCACAACTCAATTCAGACTAGTCTTTGGTTTGCCCTTCTTGCTATCCTGAGTGACTTTGGTAGCTATGTTAAAATCTTCATTCTGAATTTTCTATCAAATAATACATGTCATGACTGACTTCATAAAGAAAGGGTGGTATATATTGAATTTGCTTTACGTTTTGTATTAGAATTTTAGAGAGCTATGACACCATTAACTCAACTTGCCATTGGCACTATATAATCTAAAGAAAATTTTACTACTTTTAAGATGATCAGCAGACAGGTCCCATTATTTTTTGTACTAAAATTTTCTTCTGAGTATAGGGTGCCAATGGCAAATTGAGTTATGGAGTTGTGTATCTCTGGAATTAAAGTTCATATCATGTATCTTTGTCAATTATGTTATATGAAACGATAGTCTGACTGCTAGCACTTCTGAGAACAAGCAAGCTGAGAACTACATACAGTCACAGAATAGATGTTTATATTCTTACCGCCTGCAGTGAAGTTTTAAAATTGTACTAGCTTTAATTTTCTAGTGTCACTACCCTTTAACACTTGTGTTTAAATTAAGACATTATACCTTAGGTATATATTGTTTTAAGCTACGCAATCATCAAATGTGCCTATAAGACAGATTTCGGCCACGATTTTGTTTCTAATGTTGAATGTAGGAATCGGAACGTCGTTAGTAAACACCTATTTTTTGGTTATTTCATAGCGAGTGCCGACAACCGGCCCGGAGGCTGGAGAGACGGCGACCGGCCGGCGCCGGAACCGGCACGGACGCCTTACGGCGGCCGTGACTCGTTCGGACGGGACCGCTTCGGAGAAGACCGGTATGATATCGTCGTTTTACCTTAACTTATAAAAATACTTGGGGTGTGATCTACAATCGATACTAAAGCCAAAATATAGCTTTTAGAATTTTTGTCTGTATGTATGTCTGGGATAAACTCAAAAAGTACTGCATGGATTCACTTAAAATTTGGCACGAATATTATTAAGAAGAGAGCAGAGAACCTTTATTTCTAACTAACTCCACGCGTACGAAGTCGCGGGCGGCCGCTAGTATGAACTATGTAACTTCCAAACGCAACTTCGTCGGAGTTATAATTTCTGCGAACATCTAATTATTAAGACTTGACACTTTTCCAGGATAAAATGTATCCTATGTCTCAGTCCAGGTCACTATATGTGGATCAAATTTCATCCAAATCTGTTTAGCTTATGAGTGTTTGAGTAACAAACAAACTTTCGCATTATAAAATATTAGTAGGATGAGTAAACTATACAGTTCTGTTCTTTCAACTTTTACAATTTAATGAAATGCTTAATTTTAAATTCGCTTTACTTACTGACCCTCATATAAAATAAATTCGACTTCAGTGAGATCTATAGCAAATATATTTCACCGTAATATAGATATATTTAATTAACAGCCTTCTATCTAATATGTTTATTTTTAACTGACAGTGGCAGAGAGCGCAGTGGCTTCGGCGGTCGCGAAGGATTCCGCCCTGCCGATCGCGAGGGAGGAGGGTTTGGGTGAGTAATTAATGTAACTCTAAAAAAGCTAGAAATAACATTATATCTTAAAAAATTATAAAGTGCTATAGTCAGTCCATTCTATTATTTTCTTTTTGACAGATCGACGCCCATGAAATTTTGTATTGTTTACGTTAAAATGTCATACAAATAATATTGTACTTCATGGACGGGTATGGCCCACTTATAGTCTGTCCATTATATTATTATCTTTTTGACAGATCGATGGCAGTAAAAATAGTGGTGTCACTATTTTTACTTCGATCGATCTGTCAAAAAGAATAATAGAAGGGACAGACTATAGTTGACCCCGCATACTTCGTACAGTTTAAAATCATTTGGAAGAAATGATGGCCCCGAGTCTACCATATCAAAAGGGACAAACGTCAAATGTTTGACAGGAAAAAAAATAGAACCGTTTATATGGGAAAATTAAATTTACGTTTTTACTGTCTTTCTCGCAATTTTTCCATATTTTCTCACCTTTTAAAGCTTCCCTAGACCTCCACATTTCAAGACCAAGATAAGATAAATCCATTCAGCCGAGTTTTAGCGAGACTAACAAACAGCAATTGATTTTTATATATAAAGTAATAAATTTACTCGCCCGGGGTATTAGGCTATACATAATAAATTAATTAATAAAAACATTTGATAGAGGAATAAGGGAATTTGAAATTTATTACCAACCATACAGGCCTCTAATGACTAATTAAACAATAAAGTGACGTAGCTCGATGGCGCAAGTGGTTAGTGCGTTCGACTGCGATCGTTGAAGTTAGCAACGTTAGCGATCGATATTTGGATGGGTGAACTAAAATTTACTATCTCGAGCTTCTCCGTGCTTCAGAAGACACTTTAAGACTTTGGTCCCGGCTGCATCTGCAGTTGTTAGCACTCATCTTTCCGCACTGAACATCCATAGGGAAGGCGTGTGTACTCCAGCAATGGGGCATTAACCCCTCGGCTGTGTAGCCATTTACTTTGTTTTTCACAACTGGCAAATCAAAAAGTTTCCTGGACAATTTTCCTCTTATAATTCAAGTTCTACTGTGGGTGTACAGTCAGTCATTCATTCATTAATTTATGTCTTAAATCAATCCTGAACAGTTTCTCTACAAACTTATCTATTTAAAAGATATGTAAATGAAAACCCATTACTAAATAGGATAATATGAAAAATGAAAATAATTTTCTGAACTCATAGAAGAAATCATCCACTTACACACACGAGGGCTTAATAGACTGAAGATGATGAAAATGACGTAACGTTTGTAATATTAAAAAATAAAAGTTTGTTTTGAAAATTACTTTAAATGGATAGGTCGAAATTAATGAAAAAAAGAATACTCGGGCGCCAGACCCATACCATATTAGCCGGGAAAGCAAAGGACTATTAATCACAAGAGAAGGCTTGATTGCAAAACCATATTCATTTTGGGTTGTCGATTTATTTGAATTTACTACAAAACTACTTAAGTCCAAAAGGGTTACTGCTAAATTTAGAAACTACTTATTATACTGTGGCTACTAAAATGTAAATGAAAATTTTACCTTATGGGTTCCGGTACAACAATGAATTTGGAAAGTTACCGAACTTGTTGCATCTGTTTAGTGGCTATGTCTGGTGTCAATTGTAATAATAAATGGATGTCGCTGTTACATCACGGGACTGTTCACTTTCTCATCATGGGAAATGTTGAAAGTTCATTATAAAATCCAAAATAAAAAAAAAACGCTTTTCGCTGAAAATAAATATTCCTCAGATTAGCACATGGCTCACAACAAAGGAAAATAAGTAAAACTAAGGAAAACTCTAAGATTCTTACCGTTTTTTAAACAAATTAAGCTTGGAATGCGATATCCGCCATTCCGATCAAAAGCTGCAAAATGTTATATCTGTAAAAGAAATTAATTCTAAGGTAAATCATTGAAATATGTGGATTAAAACACTTTTCGAATTTGGAAAAACACTTACCATTAAAAACAATTGAAAATCCAATGGATTATCATGATAAAAATTAAGATTTATATTTTCACATGTTCCTCGTAAGAATTTTGGTCGTGAAGTGAAGTGACAGTTCTTTTCTTAGTTTGTCTGGGCGGTAGGCAAAGAGAACAATGTCCATTCAGCCTACTGCTCGATAAAGGCAGAAACACACTTACCCAAAAGTGCACAGATTAAAGAAAATGGGCGCGAGATAAAAAACGACCAGAGAGACAACCAAAAAAAATCTTCTATCTCGCTCTTCGAGCGAAGGAGATCCATGTGACGTTTTTAACACGTTACACGTTGACGTGGCTTTACAATATTGTTCATTGTTTCAGTAATCGGGAAGGCAGAGGTTTCGGTGGAAGAAACTTTGGTGATCGTGACCGCGATCCCCCAAAAGAAGGTAAATACAATAAAACGTTTCTTTGCACACTAGTGTCATCTGTCTTGAGTAGTGTTACCATCCGTCCGGATTAGTCCGGATCTTTAAATTGTCCGGGTTTTTAAATTACTTTGAATATGAATAATAAAAGTACATATTGATTGAAATACCATACCATTGTAACTAAGTCAGGAATGGTACCACTGTGTGACTAAAAACCAGGACTTGAAACTGGTTTCGAAAATACCAGTAAATAAAGGTTTTTAGTATAGGTTTCGACCGAACGAAACCTGAGAATAAACCGGTTTAATCCAGAGCGACACGTGCACGCGTCGGTATCGCTTAAAGTTTGTTTTGTTTGAACTAATCAAGTCACTACTTGTAATAAATAATGCTCAGAGATTGATGCATTTATTGACACGATTGTTAGCGTCTAGTGAGTCAAGTTATTCATTTATTATCAATGCCGTCAGAAAGAGCGAAATGAAACCCTTTAAAAACCTCTAAATTGGTTCAAAACCTATTTGATTTCGCTCTTTAGGAAAACTGGATTTTTAAGGTTAAGGTAGAGCCAAACCTAAATAAAACGCTCCTAATGTACTTGACACTGATTTAGGTTTGAAAATTAACCGGTAAACAAGCCCTGCTAAAAACACCGGCCTCTCTTGAAATATCAGGACTTGAAATTCCTAAATTACCCTTGTCTTGAGGCATAGTTTTATAACTTTGATAGATGTTTGGTGTGGCGAACTGACCTTATTTGCGTAATTTAACTTTTAATTGGTAGTCTGTGTTTGATATCCTGACTTTGTTTATTATTCCTCAGTATCATTTGTAATTAAACATACACATTTACCGAAATAAAATTCAATTTTATTTTAATTTTTACTAGCTTCTACCTACTACCACCACCACGTGCGCGTTATAGTTAGTTTTTGTTTATGAAAATTCCACTGGAATCTATTCTTTTTTCACTTCCACATAGAAAATATCGTATGTTTCAGTCCAGGTAATAAAATACTTGTGAAAATACATATTAGGATTACGAAAGTTAAGTATCTCTAAGTAAGAAATTATACACACAAACGCACACACTTCTATAATAGTTGTTATTACCTATTACGACACAGTAAATTGCAATTATGCTAACTTATAAACTCCAGTCCACAAGAGACAGGTTTAACGGACTATTGTTAAAACAATAATAATAATTATAATATTCTTTATTTGTTATACACCATAGAAAAACACACAAGTATATTAAAACATGATAAATAGAACGTACACAATATAGGCGGCTATAGAATAACAATGTTGATTCTTTTGTGGGTTACCTACAATGCGAAGAGATGGCCGCTGCCTAAAAGAATTGGGCACGGCCATTAGGGTCGCGGTAGCATAATGGTTAGTGTATCCGCCCGGCTCAGACCAAATAAAAAGTAAAGACGGAGTCTGCCGAACCAAAAAGTGAAGCCGGTTTTTTATGTATGTAGTGCATTAGCCAGTGTTACCATAGTCATATAAAACACCCCAATATTAGAAAAATGTAATAACGTTATTTCATAACGTTATTACATTTTTAATAACGTTATAAAATATTAGAAAAAAATATCGTAAGCTTATTCTCTAAACCTCTCGTGAGCCAAAGGTCATGCGCCGTTCTCACCTACAAGTGCCGGACTTCTTTATGGACCGCCCGCCCGCTGGGTGGGAACGATTGCATTGTTCTGCCGATTTCTCTGTTATTTTGTAAAAATACCCTTCACAAACATATATTTGGATTCTTCATAAAATTTTCAATAAAACAGTGTGTACACAATGCGTCATGTCTATAATTTATTTTAATTACATTATGGTAAACTCAGGAAAGATAAAAAAAGTCGTTTAAATAGGTAAAATGAGGTGTATTTTCAAAATTTGTAAATTATAAATCCAGGTTTTTGTACATATAGAATGTACTATATATGAATGAATGTATATAATAACTTACCAAATACAATTATAAAATATAACACGCAACAGAAAAAAGGGTCGTGTTGCAAGTGTTAATAAAACCAAATGCGAGATCCAAGTGCCTTGATTTATGTGTTGACGTTTAATTATGTTGGATTGATTATTTTACTTTAGTTACAAGTCTCGGATGGAATAGGTTTGTTCATTTTATAGTTTCAAGCACTCGCAACAAGGCACTTGAAATCGCTTACAAATCAGTCATCTCAACTTTATGTCGATAAAACGAAAAGCATATACAAACGTTGATAAATAGTTTCTTTTATTAAAATACACATGAAATTTTCTATAGAATACACAAGATATAATCACTAGTTCCTATACAAGAACATAATAAAAAAAATCCACAAACATCGCGAATTTTGGGTCAAAAAGGCCATTAAAAAGTACAATACAAATAAAATTACAAATATATTATTATTTTACAAATCGTCGCTCTGAAAATGAGTCGAACAAACCACGCTGCGGGAAGCTGGTTGCCACAATGGTGCATTTCTACTCTTACGAATGACTGCAATCCACTTCTCTTTTAGATCTTGATCTCGATTAGGAAATCTTAAAAAGAACGTATATTAAATAATGTGTATTACATCCCAAAAAATTTATACGAATACATAAAGAAAAAAAAATGGTTGCCTGTAAAGTCGGTTTTACGGGCGAAGATTTTACGTGACAACGTCTTTTTCTCGGTAGAATATTTATTGATATGAATATAATTAAATTGCACAATAGGAACAAGGAATTGAATGAAAATAAGAATTGCACAAATTTTAACTATAGAAATATATTTTGTTTACTAAAACATTGTACATGTAAACTTAAACTTAACACGAGAGACTCATCGTAACGTTACCGAGCGTTACACTTTTTCATAAGTGACTCCCAGCCGCAACCTAATTTAAGACGTTGTCACGTCAAAAAGATGTTTCGTGTAATTGTTTATCCATGCATTACAATATTCGAATAATATAAAAGTATGCCACACAATGTATATAATAAAATAACGTTACGTTATATTTCACGCTACCCAACAAAAGGGTAAAACTGTAACGAATAATCATGGCAACATTTCGTTCAGGTTTTGTTTACAAAGCGACAACCTCAAATTTGATTTTGATTAATTGAAAATAGCAGTTTATAACTTTACTTACGTATGAAATGTGATTCCATCCTGTTTTTTATTCTTGGAAGATTGGTTTTTACACGTTTTCACTACACAATTCGGCATTTTTTCTAATAAATATTGTTATTTATTATTACGTCACACTCCGCGCGTCGGGATAGCTCGACTGAGAAGCCAAGGCGTAGTTTCGTTGCATGTGTGTGCGTGTAACTGTGTATGTACACGGCGAGGCGTAGTTTTATCGGCTTCACTTTTTGGTTCGGCAGACTCCGTCTATACTTTTTATTTGGTCTGAGCCGCCCGGATAGCGGAGGGTGCGTTTTCGATACCCTTCCGCTGCCTGGTCCGGGAGGTCTTTATTTTGTAAAATTTTCTTTTAAAACATGTAGCAGTTGAATGTTTAAAAATAAAAATATAACTTCCATTATAGACATACCACAACACACACTAGACACGCATATATATTTATTGTATTTAGTTTTATTTTACTTTTTAGGGGCTAAATTCATTTCCACAAAATTTCAACAACTGCCAGCTTATAAATACGAAATAACTGCACAAATATTGTTCGTAAATAGTGAAGTGGAATGTTGATAACCATACAGGATCTTTCCTAGTTCAGGTATCAACCTGCCATAATCTTGTATCGACTTGTATTGGAACATTTTACTTCTATTCTGACAATGGATTATGATGAGGAATAAATGATGTATTATTATTATCATCCTGTCCGTCCGTAATAACGTTTCATTTGTTTGTACAGATTCGAAGCCCCGCGAACGGCCCAAACTGAACCTTCTACCCCGCACAGTGCCGAGGGAAGCAGAACTACCCACCAAGCCTGCAGACGGCGCTCCCTTAGAAACCAACCCCGCATCAACCCCCGCGGCTAAACCCGTGCCTGCTGAGAAAGTGTTCGGCGCGGCTAAACCCGTAGACACTGCCGCCAAGTGAGTTGTTATTCGTTACTATCAACCTATAGACACTATCCATAGACATAGAAACCACACCGCCTCCCGCGGCTTAACCCGTGCCCGCTGAGAAAGTGTTTGGCCCGGCTGAACCCGTAGACACTGCCGCCAAGTGAGTTGTCGTTCGTTACTATCAACCTATAGACACTATATCCATAGACATAGAAACCACACCGCCTCCCGCGGCTAAACCCGTGCCCGCTGAGAAAGTGTTTGGCCCGGCTGAACCCGTAGACACTGCCGCCAAGTGAGTTGTCGTTCGTTACTATCAACCTATAGACACTATATCCATAGACATAGAAACCACACCGCCTCCTGCGGCTAAACCCGTGCCCGCTGAGAAAGTGTTTGGCCCGGCTGAACCCGTAGACACTGCCGCCAAGTGAATTCTCGTTCGTTACTATCAAACTATAGATACTATATCCATAGACATAGAAAATCGGCGCCCCCATAGAAACCACCTCGCGGTCAAATCCGTGCCTGCTGAGAAAGTGTTCGGCGCGGCTAAACCCGTAGACATTGTCGCCAAGTTAGTATTACACTGAAAACCAAAAGCCTATAAAAAAAATATGAACTTGATAGAATTCGTTTTTCTGAATTTACTATGCTTTGATGAAAGTTGCTAGCACAAAACAGAGGACTGCCTCGGCGATCTTCGAAAATAATTAAATAATAACAGCTAGTTACAAATAAATACTGCTCAAAACTGCGTGAGAACTCTAAACGTAACGCCAATGTTTGCGAGACAGAAATGACACTTTGGATTCGACTTTATAGACATAAAACCAAAATTAGACTTGCATTCTACCAACCTTGTGATCAAATGCTTTTAGCATTAACACACAGAAGGTTGTTTCTTCAAAACAATCTTTTTCTGATTCTTAAAAGCATAATTTATTTTCACAAAAAAAATTTTTGCACACAAAATAACAGTCTTGTCTATATTGACTAGAGTGTTATATCATTACAAAGATACTGTGCTATAATAAAATGGGTTAATTAGACACCGGTTCCTGCCTAATTATGCGAGATTCGGTCGCTCTATACCAACATTTCTATTAATTATTTGTATTTATTCTTATTGATATGTGTTATTTAACGAGAAATAAATATCAATATCTATTGTCACAGGGAGCGTGAAATAGAAGAACGCCTTTTGAAACAGGAGGAAGAATCTAGACGTGCAGCTGAAGAAAAGGAGCGTTGGGGTCGTAGGGTAAGTAATAATAATAAAAACTGAATACTAATTTCTTTATCATTTATTAAAATTAGTTTGTGACAGTCACTTATTCTGCCACTTTACTTGGCTATGCATGTTTGCTATATGTAAACTTAACATTAATCTGTCCTTTTCATTCCATAAAAAGCATGATAAAAACAGACTGATGTCAAGTTTACAAATAGCAAATATACGAATAGCCAAGTGGCGTGCTGGGATTATTTATGTGGAAAATATTATGTAAAAAAAAAATAGTTTTAGCATTTAACTGCTTCCTTACTAGTAAAGTTTCTTTTAGACTCCAGAAGAATTTAACTGGACGTTTGATTTTACAGAACGATCATTCCGGTGACCGTCGTGGCGGTGCGAGACGTGGTAAGTAAGAATACTTCAATAATGAGGATTTTCTGGAATGACTCGCACCAGATGGCAGCACTGAGACAAAAGGTCTATTCATCCGTCAAATTACCTATGTGGTCATAGCCCATCGATCAATATAAATGCTTGTTCGATTAATTCGCGACAGAAATTTTATACAAAAGACCTCTTGTCACAGTGGCCCCAAGTGATGGCGTAGTATTTCCTAAACACCCTCAATATATTCGTTGACAAATCATCCCTTCTAACTTGTGTGTACTAAAATGACTATTACATCTACAGATGATCGTGGCAGAGACTCGCGCAGCTACAACAGAGACCGGCGCGATTATTCTAAAGACGACAACGATAGGCGCGACGATCGCCGTCGCGATTACTCTAAAGACGATAGAGATGGCCGCGAATACTCTAGCAAAGACGACCGAGACCGTCGCGATTACTCTAAAGACGATAGAGTTTGTCGCGATTACTCTAAAGACGATAGAGACCGTCGCGATTACTCAAAAGATGACAGAGAACGCCGCGATTACTCTAAAGATGACAGAGAACGCCGCGATTACTCAAAAGACGATAGAGATCGTCGTGATTATTCGAAAGATGATAAAGACCGTCGCGATTACTCTAGAGGCGAGAGGGACAGGCGCGATTACAAGGACGACAGAGACCGACGAGAGCCGAGGGACGACAGACGTGAATCCAGAGACGAAGCAGATAACGATGACCGGGAGAAGCGGGAATACTCCCCCGACAGGCGGGAGAGCAGAGACGATAGGGAACGCCGCGATTCTAGGTCAGTATTGTTAATGGAATGTAGGATTCAAAAAAACGAGTGAGCCTTACAGTAGTCACGTATGATGTGTAACATTTGAAACCTCACACTATATTAGTAAAAAAGAAATAAAACCTACTACAAAAGAAATAAGCCATTTGAACATTATGTTCTAAAATCAAATCAAATAGCGCGCGCTTTCGCGACTTCCTGTTACACACTTCCGTCTCATTTCACGAAATCACTCACACATATTGCAGGAAAGCGAGAGGAAAGATGTTACACATCAAAAATCATGTTTGGTTAGGTTAGAACCAAAGAATATAGTCCGAGAGCCGGCCGTATAAAAGTCCTATGGATCAGATACATGAATCATTTTTGGGGTATGAACAATAAAACCGTAGGTCTAGAGGTCGACACCCCTGAAGTTGCTTGATTTTGCCCGCATGCAAAATTATGACGTCACTTCCGGTTTTTATTTTAGGTGTAATTATAATTTATGAAATACATCAAGAAAATTTATGTCGAACGATAGTTTTTGATGAGTAGAATAGAAACGTCAAGGGTCGACAAGCTCTATTTATACGCTACCTTGAGTCGACCACCATTGGAAATATTTTTTTTTTTAATTTATCTTAAGCCATCGAATACATGGATTTGCTTACGATTTTCTGAAACTAGAACCTCTCAAATGACTAAAAAAAATTGGTCGACACCTTTCATTTGCCCGGATCTGACTGTCGACTTAGTTTGAAGAATTAAAGAGCCTATGCTTATACATTTTATCTCTATGTATGTTTCATTATTTAATTATCTGGATATCTATTTCAAATACATTGATGTTTTTTTTTCCAATTAATTCTTTGACTCTAACATTACTAAAAAAAATTGGTCGACACCTTTTATTTGCCCTGATCTAACTGTCGACTTAGTTTGAAGAATTAAAGAGCCTATGCTTATACATTTTATCTCTATGTATGTTTCATTATTCAATTATCTGCATATCTTTTCTAAATACATTGATAATCTTTTTATTTAATTAATTCTTTGACTCTAACATTACTAAAAAAAATTGGTCGACACCTTTCTTTTACCCACATCCAACTGTCGACTTATTTTAAAAAATCAATGAGCTCATACGTTCCATGTCTATACATGTTCAATTATCAACATTTTTTTTCTAAATACATTAATAATCTTTTTTTTTTCAATTAATTCTAACATAACTACAATTTATAATTTTTATTATTTTAAAGCATGAGACTGCTTGATGTTTAAATCTAAAGAAAATATAACTAGAAAAAAATCCACGCGGACCAGGCAGCAGACGGGACTCGAACCCGCACCCTTCGCAATCCGGGCGAATGCACTGACCAATTATGCTACCGCGGCCCTCACGGACCGCGTTGAAATCCTCCTAGCCATTCTTAAGCTGCAAGGCAGCGCCATTTCTCGCATTATAGGTAACCCACAATGTCAAATGAATACTTTTACAAGTATTATACATTTGAAAGAAGAAATAGCAATTATAGTTATAATTTTTATTATTTTAAAGCATGTGACTGCTTGATGTTTAAATCTAAAGAAAATATAACTAGAAAAAATTCCACGCGGACCAGGCAGCAGACGGGACTCGAACCCGCACCCTTCGCAATCCGGGCGAATGCACTGACCAATTATGGTACCGCGGCCCTCACGGACCGCATAATTGGTCAGTGCATTCGCGGATTGCGAAGGGTGCGGGCTACAATTTTTTTGAAATACTTACTATACATTTTTCTATTTCTTGTTAAAATTTAAGTCCTTAAGGATATATTTTGTATTCCTACCTTAAGTCCAGGTAGCCGTTAACGTTTCTTCTTTTGTACCTGTAACCTCAGTATACAGAACAAACCAGAAACCGTCAATGCGCTCAAAAGTGAAACCATACAAACCACACCGTTTCGGCGTGGTTCGTCAAATTGTCATTTAGTCAATGGCCGATGCTCGTACTGTTTACTAGTAATTTCAGCTGTCAGTTTTAAAATAATTATGCCGTCGTGTGTCGTTCCCACTTGCAAAAATGCAACAGGATCTACGAAGAAATCAGATGGGATCACCTTTCATCTGTAAGTTGTACATTTCCAATCCATTTTATTAAAATATTAAATTTAATTTACGTAATATAATTTTTTTTTTTTTCGGGGGTAGTTAAAAACCGTTAACATCTGTTTTTGACAAGGTCTTGAATTATTTAATTTTAAAAATAAAATACATTTTATTTTGAGTAGAATAAGTGATAAATTTTATGTACTAATAGTGAGTGGTACCTACAGTTGTTTTCTCCTCTCGCTCTCTACCACATCTGTGATCGTAACTTCACTACACTATTTTACACATCAAACAAGCACTGCACTACCAAAATGGAAGATATCAGGAGCACTATTGATACACTGGCACAATCTTTTACTGAGCGTATGACGGCATTTGAGAATAAGCTCAGGAATACAGGTGCACCTCAACAATCGTCGCTGTCCACTCTGTCACTGGAGTTCAACGCTTTCCGGGCCTTTGTGATTGCAGCATTTAGAAACCTTGAGAAGCAGGTAACAGTGTTATCCTTGGAGTGTGACAGGATGGAGATGCGGAGTCGCCGAAGTGCTCTTTTGCTACATGGTGTTCCCGAGAGGAAGGATGAGGATTGCTCTGAAGTGTTTCTGGAGGTTGCGTCGCAGCATCTGGCTACCCCACAGGTTCAGGCAACTGATTTAAGCCGAGCATTCCGTCTTGGTCGTGTTCGAGGGGATAGGCCACGGCCACTTCTTATTAAATTTCACTCCGAGGCAATTCGTGACAAACTTTGGATGGCCAAGACAAAGCTTAAGGGTACAGGTATTACCATGTCCGAGTTCCTGACCAAGCTTCGTCATAAAATATTTATGGCTGCGCGGGAGCGTTTTGGTGTCTCCAGGTGTTGGACCAATGCTGGGCGCATCATCGCCTTGGATGCCGCAGGGAAGCGACAACACGTTACATCCATGGCTGACTTTGATAAATTGGGTCCGCCGGTTCCTGTTCCCGTGGCTGATGCGAGTGGTACGGATGCGAGTGATGCTGTGCAAGTATGTGCAAGTAGTCCTGTAGCTCCGGTGACTGCCCCTACTGCCTCGAGAGGCAAGCGGGCTGTGTCTGCAAGAAGGAAGTAATGGTTGCTTACTGGTGTTATTTTGTGTTCTTCGTAGCCCATATTGAATGTTAATGTAAATTACTTACTTTTTTCTTACACTTGTTTTTGTCAATTTCTTCTGTTTATCCGTTCCACAATTTCATTAAAAATATTTTTTTTTACGATAATCCAAGTAAGGTAGTAAAGTAATTTGATTGTTTTGTTATCGTCTTAGCTGTCATTGTCATTGTTTAGTTTGTTCACCTTTTATTGCTATTTTAACGCCTGTCACGCTGGGTTACGTTCCGAACCTACGCTCCAGTCGCATGGTGTTCATGGACGTACGTCCATGGTTGCGTACTGTATAATGTTTTTCTTTCTTGTTTAGTGTAGCTCTGAATTTCTGAATGTGTAAATGTTAATATCTTTTATTATTATTTTCATTTTCTTACAGACAACCCGTGGGTATTTATATATGTAGTTTGTTAAAGCATATAATAATTTATTTTTAGTTTATTTTATTTTGATCATTTATATATATATATATATTATTTTACATATTGGATATATCTTTAAGTAATGATATTTTCTTATCATGTTCATCTCCCTCTACTTCCAACTCTAGTTTTCAGAGTTTAGATCGCCCCTTGAATGAGCTTTTGAGTGATGCTTTTTCGGATGTTCCTAAGAACCTTAACGTAATCCATATCAATGCACAGAGTATTCCTGCACACTTCCCAGACATGCTTGCATCTTTTGCTTGCAATAACATACATGCTATTCTTGTTTCAGAAACTTTTCTCAATCCCTGTCTTTCTTCTTCTACCTATTCCTTACCTGGATTCCAGTTGATACGTAACGATCGTGTAAGTTCCTCGCATGGGGGGGTGGCTATTTATCTTCGCTCTCACATCTCTTTTTCCATCCTTAGTCGATCCTCACAACCGCCGCCCCCTAACAGTGCTGAGCATCTGTTGCTTGAAATATCCTTGTCCCATACTAAAGTTCTTCTTGGTGTTTTCTACAGCCCTTCACTTCGAGTAGATTATTTCGAGTCATTGGAACAGCTACTCGAAAATTTCGTTCCTTCGTATTCCCATACAATTATTATGGGAGATTTCAACACATGTCTAATGAAAGACGATTCCCGTTCCAAAAAATTACTTTCGGTGATTGATTCATCAAATTTACATATCCTTCCGTTAAATGAAACACACCACTTTCCTAATTGCACTCCTTCTCTGCTTGATCTTATGATTGTCTCTTCACCCACATTCGCGGCTAAGCACGGCCAATATTCTGCAGACGCTTTCTCATATCATGATTTGATATACCTATCGTATAGGATTCGTACTCCTAAATTAAAGCCCACAGTTCAACTTCAGCGTAGTTTTGCAAGAGTGAATCAGGAACATCTCCTTGAAGATGCTGACAATATGGATTGGTCTGCGATTTTCGTTTCTAAGTCTGTTGATGAGCAAGTGGAACATTTTAATACGCTACTCACTAAGCTGTATGACGTGCATGCACCCGTTCGACCGGTAAAAATTAAGCATCTGCCGGCTCCATGGTTATCAGAAGAGATCCGCGGGCTAATGACTAAGAAAAATACTGCTAAAGCAAGGTTCAAGGATTAATCCCTCGAAACAAAATGAAATTAAATATAACCGTATCAGAAATAGGTGCAATACTGTGATAAGGGACGCTCAAAGACGCTATATTCACAGTTCTGTCGAAAATGAAGATCCTGCAAAAGTTTGGAAATTCTTAAAATCTCTAGGGGTCGGCAAATCCCGTAATTCTACTCCTACTAATAATTTAGAAATTGACAAACTTAATAGTTACTTCTCTACTTCTATGCCGCTTGATGCATCCC